GAATATAGTTGGGGGAATAAATACAGCTGTAATTCCTCAGCGGGTAATATGTAGTGCAACAAAGTCAGTGGCCTAAAAACCGCTTATGCTTTGAGATGGGATGACGCTGGGTCAGCCAGGACCTCTCTCTACTCCAGGGGCTCCCTGTGCAGCTGGAAGTACTTTCTACATCACTACTGACCATGACTGAGAAATGACCACAGTTTTTCTTCAAGTATATTAGTGATATACTTTTCCCTGCATGAGAAATAAGTACTTTACAGCATAAGACACAGTATAATAGGGATGTTAAGATATTTTAAAAGGCGCATTTGAGAGACTGCTTCTCGGTAACTGTTGTCAGTTTTAGTTCAAATAAACTTATAAAAAATTCAAAACAAAAGGAAAAAAGACTTCTTAAAAACATACAGAGATACCATGACTTACGTGAGACGAGATGTATGTTATACAATCATCTAACTTGGCCAGCATAGGTATAAATCCTTCGCTATTCACAGACAATGTAGGAGAATTCAATTTCTTTAAGGAAAAAAAAAAATCAACCTTAATTCACGCAATGCAAAAATGTACAGGTAAAACTTAATAATTACGTATTAGAACTACCATATTTCCCTTTAGGATATAACAAGTCATACTAATGTCTTTACATTTTGAATCACCAAAATATCCTCAAAGGTAGTCCATGTGAACAATAAATAAAGGAAAACCAAAAAAGAACACTGATTTAATTCCATTTATTCGTAATGATCTTCAATGGGGCTCTTCATGAATTATCAAATATTTTATTTACTCCATTGTACAATGTTACGTTACACATCAAATACCTAGACTCATATTTATCAGCACTTTACAACATACATAAATTTTCTATTTTCAAGCACCGGTAATTTTCTCAAGGTTAAAGGATTAACTAGCAGTCAGTCGTACTATGTTTAGCCATCATATTATTAAAGTAAAAAATATATATGTAAAATCTAAATAAATATATAGTAATAGGAACAGTATAAGTATAAACATAAATAATGTGTGATATTTAACACTTGATATATGTAAAATTATATTTTAAAACATAAAACGTACAATAACATAACATAAATGTAAGTAATGTATACAAAATATAAGTAAAGCTGATCATTTCTTATCTCGATATACAAATAGTTTGGCAATGAACTATTTCCTATTGCATTCCACTGTTAATTGGCTAACAGCTTGACTTCTAACTCTTTAGTAAATTATAATTATGATTGATTTAATAATTGTAATAACATCATTTTCATATAATTACTATAATTAAGAACCAGAAATGTCATTTACACAGCAGTCTTTATTGAGACTATTACTTAGGAATACAAGTATGCATTACGGGGACTATACTTTTCCTCACACTAATGAAATTAGTTTAAAAAACTTTTTTTTATTATTGTAGTAGCAAGATTTAAAATTTAGTATTTCTTCTTATAATCTTCTTCAAGGCTTACAGATAAGATATCATGAGAGGTAGCAAACAAAGAGATTTTTAGTAACATCAACACAATGTAAGCAGATTACTTAAATCACATTTGAAAAAATCTGAACTGGTAACCATATGTCCATTGATCGTAAACAAGAATACTAACAGCAAGCAAACTATTAAGTTAAAATATCACTCAAGCCAATTTATAGGTTTTAAGAGTATACTCTGAAAGGGAAATATAAAGTCACTAACTTTACAAAAAGTGAAAAACATGCTTACCGTATTAATAGTTTCCAATTCATTAAAATAGGAAAGCTTCTGTTGAATGTTTTCAGCTAGATCGACAAGTTCCGACTTGCATTTTTTAAAAGAGAAAAATCAATTATTGTAAGAACACAAGAATCAACACTCCAATCTCAAAATAACTTTGAATTGATTTATATCAGACATTACCGATTTATAGTAAACATAAGATTTCAGAATAATGCTCAAAGATTTTTGCAATCATGGACTAAAACAATCGATGATTATTAAAGTAAATTATAATCTCAAAATAATAAATGACTGCCTTTTAATAAGCAGAATACACACAGAGAAAACTCTGATATAAATATAGTAATTAAATATTCTATCTTTAAGTCACAATTTAAGTACAAGCTAGATCAGTTCATCTTTCCCAAAGGCCACCTTCGCTATAACCATGATGCCTGTTTGAAAAGTGTCAAGAGCAGACAGCGCAAACTAATGCATCCTCTTCACTCTGAAACTGTACTGAGACCTAACAGTTCAAAATACAAGAAAGCCAGCCCTTGCCCCATTCGCCTGAGCTGATTTAGAATAAAAGCAGGTTGTCGATGTAACATTTTGTGTGCTTAGCACAGGCCCTCATACAGAGCAGTGTTCAACATATACTTGGAGAAATAAAGGGGATTAGAATTAAATTGTGTACGTCTATTTAAAAATAAAATATTAATATAATCACTGGCCCTCTGCCCTACGCCCCATTACCTGTTCTTTCAGGAGCTGTTCGCAGGCTTCGTGGAGGGCTCCCGTCTTGTTGGACACAAAAAGATACTGTTTCTGCAGTGACTCCAGATGCTGAAGAGCTCTGTTTACGTCATTCAATATAGCATCGCACTGCTCCTGAAACCCAGACAAGTAATCCCTCATCTGTCTAGAAAACAGAACCAAAAGGGGGTTGGCAATAATGTTTTCCCCCAATAAGCATAACCAATAAACAACAAAGTCTCATTTTTCCCCAAATGCTTGGACTTCAGGAGGAAAGTTGGACCTAGTCGCTGCAGTTCATTACATTCAGAAATGTACCAAAAGCTATGTTACGAACTGTTTCAATATTTGAGAAAAATTACTGAAACTAAAAGGAGCAGCTAAAGGAATCAACCGTGAAATCATAAACTGGCTTTTCGCCTGGAAGACAATAAATCACCAGCTCAACTTTCAAAGACGACACCAGGGCCATCCACTCCAAGGCGGTAGTTCAATTCCAGCTTTGAGAGAGTATGATATCATGGGAAGAATTCTAGACTCGGAATTAGAAGACCTAAGTCCAAATGCCAGCTCTGCCCAAGTCTCCGTGACATTAGGCCCGTTATTTAATATTTCTAGGCCTCAGCTCGCTCATTTGTAAAATGGGAATAATATCACCTTTCCTCACAGAGCTGCTATGAACATTAAATAGAATTATATATCGAAGAGCCTAACACAATGCTTAGCAATTATAGCCACTTCATAAATATTCGACGAATGCAAAAAGCTCAACCCACAGTCCTCAAATCAGCTAGAAAGTATATGCCATCATTTCCCCCATGCTACCAGTACACACAAAAGGAACACAGTGACACCCCAGAGTCCAGGTGGCCGTCCCTAAAGTCGCTTGGGTCTTTCCTAAAGAAAGGCAGCAAACACCTCCTGGAGCTCCTGATTAATTCCCACCTGAACCCAAGCCTTTCTAGATTTACCTAAAAACCAATGTCTGCCTCTCCTAACCTATTAATTACAATGTAATTTTTTAAAAGTCGCACAACTTCCAATACTAGTTGACCCAAATCCTCTCTGACTAGCCTTAAAGAAAATGTTGCTGTTGGAGTTTTCTTTGTACCTTAATTTTGTTTAAAGACACAGATTACAAAACGCTTCAGATGACTGTGATCTAAAAATGAGGACAGACAACAAATGCAAGAGCCACATACCTATATTTAGTGTCTTCATCTTGATCCATCTGGGTTTGTAGCTTTGCAAACCATGAGAAAAACTGGAAAAACGAAGAGTATTATATTGTCAATAGAGCTAAAACAGACCACATGAAAAGTGGCCACACGCTAAAGAGCCAGTCAGAAGGGAACCCTAAGTTTTACTGTTTGGGATTCAGACGTGAATGATTAGTTTTATGCCAGGAGACGATAATTTAATTGCACAGTCAATATCTGCATGCTAGGAAAAGCGAAGGATATTAAAAACAATGGCCATTTTCAGAGTTAATCAAGAATATTAAAGATACAATACGTAAGAAGTAAATATTTCTTCTCTGAGAGGCTAAAGCCCATTTGCTAATTTGCCAAATTTGAGTAGGTAATGTCAGGTTTTGAGTAAATATTATTATCTAAGAAGAACTGTGAGAATATAAACTCATAAATAACGTAAGACTAGTTTAAGAACACAGACTTTCACGGCAGCTAAACCTGGGTTTGAATTATGGCCCTATCGCCAATGTGCCGAAAATATCTATTATTAAAAAGAAGTAGGGGGAGGTGACCTTCGACAAGCATGAGGAAACTTTTTGGGGTGACGGAAATGTTTTATATCTTGATCGGAGTGGTAGTTAAACCGGTACATACACTTGTCAAAACTCGTCAAGCTGTACGTTTACAATGATTACGTTTTTCCGTATATAAATTATAACTCAATATATTTGGTTTTTCTAAATTTAAAGAGCGTGCAGGTGCAAATTTAATCCAGAAGATTTTGTTTTCAAACCGTCCAAAGAAATCCAGAGACACGGTGCAGGACTTCGTCCTGTGACTCTCCGTGGGACCTGCAGTCACGGGTACGCTTAACTCTCCCGAGACACTAACCCGCCGAGCGCGCGGGCTGCAGCCCACTGGACCGCGACCATGCGCCCACCACATACGGCACGTCCGTGCATCATCCTCACAAAGATCCGTGACACGGGTATAGGACTGCCATCGTTATGCCCATAAGGAAACTGAAGACCTAAGAAGGTAAGTAATTTGCTGACACTCGAGAAGATGGTAAGTGACGCAGGTGACGTCCAGACCCCGGGCCTAGCTCTGGAGCGCTCGTCAGCACTGCCTGTCTCGACTCACTGTGCGTCCGGTCAGCACACTGCTCCCTGCTTGACTCAGTGAATTTCTAAGCTCTGATTCTTCACGAGACAGACAGAGCAGAGGAAGCAGCAGAAGAAACTACTGTCCATTTAGGTTTATAATCAGGAATAAGCAGACACCAAGAGAAGATTGCACATGCTACATGACAAAAAATAACTCCAAGGGCTCATCTAAAGAGGATGTTTAGGTTTTGAAAAGAGAAATTACCTTGCAACAGGCAGAGAGGGGTGTGTGTGTGAGTGTGTGCGCGCGCACGCACTCACGTACATGCACGCATGCTGGGGGAAGTCAAAAGTACATAAAATAGTAAAGCCTTAATAAATATAATAATCTATCAACATCCAAACTTGGAATATTGTCTATGGCCATGCTATCCTGAACATGCCCGATCCCATCTGATCTCAGAAGCTAAGCAAAGTCAGGCCTGGTTAGTACTTGGATGGGAGACCACCTAGGAAGACCAGGTGCTGCAGGCATAAAAAAAATTAAAAAATAAAACATTGTAAGCTGACAAGGTAGGTCCTTGCAATCTGTGAGGTCAACCAAGGGTTGCCTTGCCTAAAACAAAAAAATATATATATTTTAATAAAATAAAATCAAAACAAACTTGGAATATCACGTTTTTATCTGTACCACAAATATAAGTGGGCAACAGATTCATTTAAAACACTTAATGGCCACAACTAACACAAAATCAAGACTGCTTTAAAAAGATTTTGTGTTAACCACAGTTCCAAATGTTTAGAGCTTTTCATTAGGACCCTTCGTATTAGCCCTGTCCCGAGACAGTTAAAATAATCCCACATCCTTAGACACAGGGCTGCCACTCACCTGCTGTGCGGTCTCGATTCTTCCATCTTCCATCTGCAAGGCCGTGAAACCCTTCGAGAGAATGTCTTCCGTGGAGTCGGGCACTATCGAGGTCTGTGCGATGGGCAGCGACTGGAACGTCAGGCTGCACAAGTCTTCAATTGGCAGCTTGAAAAAAAAGGGCCACACAGACATTTAAATATCTTGCAAATACTCTGAACTTGTCTCGAGACTGGTATTACAACTCAGTTATTTTGTCAGAGAAAGGAATGCTTCGTGTTAAACCATCTGATTTAACAAATGCCATGTAATACTAACGCTTATAACTAGGCTCGCTCTCTCTGTGAAATGCTAGCCTCAAACGTGAGCATGACACTGAGAGCTCACTCCCAGGAAAGGATGGTTTTCGAGTTACCTTTCTAATACTGGGGATGAGTCCGTGCTAACCCACACCCACTTTCTTACTTGAACGTCTCGTGAACCAGACCAAGGTCGAACCTGTGCTGCTGAGAGCAGCCTGCCGTTCCCCGCTGCCCCCCACAGCATCTAACACAAAGCCCGACCGCAGAAACGGCCCCCAACGGAAAACACGTCACGCCCAAGAACAAGTACCGATAAACGTTACCTCCTACCATTTCCGCCGCTGGCACACTTCACCCGCTCCCTCTTGCTGACAAATTTTGAAATTACAACTGAACAGAAAGAATTTCAGAGTCTCCCTTCAGCTTCAGGAGAGCCCACCTCCAAGGCCTCACTCATGTCAATACTTCCTAGTTCCCCACTGCTGCTAAAGACAGTCCAGGTGTGAACTCACCTGGAGTCATACAGACAAGCTACGTTTAGACCGAAAAGAAAGGGAGTGTGGCTGCTGGGGAAAGGAAAAGAGCCCGTTTTGTTGCAATTCCAGTTTCCAGACCTTAGGGCAAGACACGTAGGGTCCAGCAACATGAGATCTTGATCCACGGCCTTCGGAAATGACCTCCCTGTCTATTTTTCTAGATATAGAAATTTCATCTGAAGACAGTATTTTCTCTTTCAAGCTCAAATAAACTAGATGCAAAATACACCATCACTAACTTGGAAATACAACCCCGTAACTAAAGGGGTTTTGTACCTGGGTTTGAGGCACTCTACGTCCTGGCACAGTACATAATGTCACCGAGGAGCCTGGCTTGAGCCCTGCCCCTGCTCACTATAAGCTGTGACGACAGCGAAATTATTTTATGCTTCTAATTCTCCATTTCTTAGCTGTAAAATAGGAATTACATTATCTGCATCATGAGGCCACTGTGAAGAGAAGCTGGAACGGGTGCAGGGAGCAGGCTGCTCAGGGAAGGCTGAGCGCTCAGGGAAGGTCCTCCGTCTGCGGTCCCGAGGGAGTCTGCCTGGAGACCCAGGGCATCGCTCGTCCAGGTAAACTCTTCCTGGACGGTGATGGAATCGAAGCACAAAAGGACTGTCGTGCAGAAAGAATTACGTTTCCCAAATCCGGTAAGAATCTACCTTGAGTCTAAAGTGTCACCAGGAACTGTGTGCTGCCACTGAGGGCTCTGGAGGACGGCGGGAGTCAAAAAGGACTGTCGTGCAGAAAGAATTACGTTTCCCACATCCACTAAGAATCTACCTTGAGTCTAAAGCGTCACTAAGAACTGTGTGCTGCCACTGGAGGACGGCGGGAGTCGTACTGAGACCGTCGCCCCTGCTCATGCTCAGTGCAACCACCCCAATGACCAACCAGCCATCTCCTCCGAGATGACACTCCCTGGACTCCGCATAACGCCTGCCACAGAGCAGACACCCAACGAGCATCATATCATCACCCCTCTTTACCAGCAGCAACACGGTGAACAGATTTATACATCAGACTCGATCCTGCTTCTTGGGAACAGTATAGCCCGTAAGCCACCTTTACAAAATCACATTTTATTAATACTAAAATTTAGTTCTCTATGAACAGACCATGGAGAAATTCAAACGCATAATCCTCTCTGCCCTGTTCACACAATACCTAATGGGCAAAGGGGAGAGAGGCATTGAATAGGCTTAAATTTGAAACATACAGCAGAAAGCATACGGCTAGGCTAACGTAAAGAAAGCTGGACAGTGTTGCTTGCACCCTAATACGAAAAAAACAAATAACCTACAAAATCATAACTATTTTGAACCCATCAGAGGGCAGAGGTCACAGAATAATGAAGTAGCTTAAAATCTATGAAAGATGGGCAGCTCCGGGGAGAGACAGAAGCCAGCACGGGTTCACCTGTGGCAGATCACGGGGAAAGAAATGACAAGCACCACCCAAGTAGGTAAGAATTTTCCTAAAATTTCTTATAAATTGCTAAAGGCTGGGGGGTGAGTGTCGAATGCCCGGAAGCCACAGACACAAGGGGGGCTGCCACCCACTCACACGGTTTTCTTCACAGATCCCCACAGGTGCTTGTGCCACGGAATGAGCCGGCCTAGGAAAGGAGACCGCTGTGGGGGCGGGGCCTAGGCCCATCCGCCGACACAAGGGCGGCAGAGCCTGCCATCCCTGGGGCGCAGAGGAGGACCCGCCAGTGCTGGGGGAAGGGAAAAGAAAACACCACTAAGCCCAGCGGGGGGGAACCCAGCCAGGATCGTCAGAGGCCTCTACCCAGGAGGGAGACAGTAAGAGAGAAAGCTCCACCCCCAATCCAGGGCAAAGGGCCCGCCCCAGGCTGAGGCCTGGAGGACGGAAGCCTCCCACCCACCACCACTCCGGGCTAGACGGCTCGTGCTATGGGAGGGCAAAGGCACAGACACCCCGAGACTCAGGCACAGGGCACACCAAGCTGGGGGACAGAAGCAACGTTAAGAAAACCCTGCAGTGACCCAGCCCCATGCTAAGCGAAGGTAACGCCAGAGAATTTGAAGCCAAAGGGAAACTACACCAGAGCGACGACAAAACCCAAACCTAGCGCAACTCCTGGCTAACCTGACGCACCTCCCCGCACTGACAACCTACCAGAGGGGCATTCTTATTTCCAGGCATCGGTACTATTTTCCTTATTCTCTACCGTCCTGCACACGATGTCCAGTATTTATTCAAAAACACATTAAAAAGCTAGGGGGAAAGAAACAACTGAGTGTCAAGAGACAAAGCGCTCAACTCAGGGATGACCAGTATAAAAGAACTATCAGACAATGAATTTAAAATAACTAAATAATGTTAAAGACTCTGGTATAAAATACAAATAAAATAAATACACAGATACAGAATTTCAGCAGAAAAATTAAAACCGTAAGTGTCAAAAGGAAATGCTAGAAATAAACATCATGGTAACAGAGATGAAGAATCCCTGCAGTGGACTGACTCACCAGTACACTCAACACTGCTAAGGAAAAAATCAGTGAACTGGAAGCTAGGTCAATAAAAATAACCCTTAAAGAGGAAACAGTGGGAAAATAAAAACTGAATGCAACATCCAAGAACTGTGGGGTGATGTCAAATGACCGAATATATGTGTAATCTGAATCCCAAAAGGAGGAGAAAGAACAGGGTAGAAGAAATATTTAAAGATAATATCTGAGAATTTTCCAAAAATAATGAAAGACACCAAACTAGAGCTCTGAGAAGCTCAGAGAATCCCAAGCAGAGTATAACACACACACACACGCACGCACACGCACACACGCACACACACACGCACACACACACACACGCACACACACACCCCTAGACACACCATATTCAAACTCCTGAAAACCAAAGTTAAAGAGAAAATCTTGAAAGCAGTCAGAGGAGAAAAGACACATTACATACAGAGAAAGAAAAATAAGAATCACTGCAGACATTAGCAGACAATGAAGCAATATCTTTTAAGTGATAAAAGGAAAAAACTGTCAATCCAGAATTGTTTACCTAGTGGGAATTTCTTTTCTAAATGAAAGAGAAATGAAGACTGTTTAAACAAAGCTGAGAGAATGCATCGCCCGCAGACCTGTACTACAAGAAATGTTAAAGGAAGTTCCTCGGACAGATGGAACATAATGCCAGATGGAAACCTAGATCTATGAAAACAAAACAAGCAAACAAACAAGGAAAAATCCTGAAGAGCTCTAAGACATGGTTAAAATAAAGGTAAACATGACCATTTTTATTTTCAATCATTCAGAAAGATAAATGTCAAAAAACAGCAGCAATGTATTATGGGTTTATAGCATACGTAAAAATAAAATGCATGACAATAGCACAAAATAGAGAAAGGAAGAATTGGGAACATCCTCTTGTAAGGTTCTTATGCATGTCCGAGTATAATACTTACTGGCAGACGGTGACTAATTAAGGAAGAATGTTATAAACCTAGGGCAATCGCTTAAAATACTGAAAACACACAAAGGACCTTACAAAACTCAGACCTCCAATGCCACCTAGACCCATACCTATATTTAATTCAACTCCTTTTGAGAAAAAGAGATTATAAATGTGTCTTAAAAAGTAACACAGATCAATTTCAAACCCCTGCTTGTGAAACCACACACTAGTTTTGCAAAGTGAAACGGACATGTAATAATCACATTTTCCCATGAGAGTCCATGAGGTCTTACACCACTTAAATCTGGTACTTCGCAATATATAACAAATTCCAAATAAAAAGTAAAAATTCTCTCATTTCAGCATTATTTGTAATACACACAGCAGTTCTTTTAACCACACTTATATGAATAACCCGCAAGGCACAAAATTCAAAGGACGTTCAGGGAAAAGTGTCCTCCCCAAGGACCCACTCCCCGACCATCGTCCCTCCTCAGCGGCCACCACCGAAGCTCCTCACCTCTCCCGTGTCCTTCCTCAGCCACCTACACACACACAAAAGGAAATGAACCTTTTCTAGCACAAATAATAGTACACTATACACCCTTATTAACCTTTTTCATTTAACTTGTACCATTTTCAATTGTCTTTCAACAGACTATAAGGAAAAGAGGAATTAACTCTTTGAATTCATAACTCTCTAATTGTCATTACACTCTAATGGGCCCATTAGTTTTTCTAAAAACCCAGGAGTACAGACTGATTCGTAAATGAAAAGCAAGTCTGCCTTCTCTTCTCTGCTTTTCCAACCCTTCCTCTCAGAGACAATACCGGTGTTTATAATTTAAGAACTATTTCTAAGGAATTTAAGGGTAGAATGAAGACCTTTAAAAGTGGAATGAACCAAAGAGATCATCTGCAGTTGTTACCAACGTTCTTTTACAGAAATTATTCAAAACACATGAACATATATTTTATTCCAAATCATTGAGTTAAAATTAAAAGTAAAATCCTTTCCCACTCTCCACTTTTAACCAAGTTCACTGTATGCAATATTTTTGATGGTCG